GGTAGAGGGAGAAGCAGGCTCCCTGCCGAGCAGAGAGCCCAACATGCAGCCTGATCCCAGGACCCCGGGATCTTGACCTGAGCTGAAGGCAGATGCTCAACCAACTGAGCAACCCAGGCGCCCCCTATAGTTCTTAATACAACTTATGCTTACAAGAGATTGAAAGATACTCTGAATAGAACAAACATTGATACCCTTGTTTAGGGGAAGTAAGAATCAAACTCAAAAAAAATTAGGAAGACCAAGAATATGTGGTCTTATAAAAGAAGGGAGAAATGTTAGCAAACAAAAAAATAAAAGCCGTGTGGATTGGGGGGCAAAATCCAGTTTCTTTGTTTTAAAAACAAGCACAAAACAAAAAAGGATAGTGTCACAAACACTTAAAATTGGGGCAGGGAAATGCAGAAATGCATCACAGTACAATGATTTGGCTTCATAAAGTAAGACTCTGATTAAAATGAAATGTCACAAGTCTTCATATCTAACAAATAATGTACAATATACCAAGGATACAAAGTGGATTTTTTTTCACTTAAGTTTATTACAGACTACCAAATCATTGTTTAATGCATTTATTTCTATAGGCCGTCTCTTTTTGGCAGTACATGATGCTACATTCATACATACATGCTAGATATTTTACCATTAGAGTACCTCATTGTTACCTTTCCACCCATACACATATATTTATTACCTCCATCATAAGAAACTTGAGACTAGGTCAGATTATGTAGAAACTTGTTTTCATTAATAGTAAAACTCAAAATTTATAGAAAAATACTAGTTGTAACAACTTATGTTGGTTGTATTTTGATAGAATACATTTTTTAAAATGAGTTCTGGCTTTGTCAAATAAATGAAATCTTTAAAGTAGTGTCTTTTTCTTATGGTAATGGAATTATCAGCTGATCTTAAGCTCTTATATATCTATTTGTAGTTATTTGCTTATCTAATTCTTGAAATTAATTTCATTTTGGAAGTGGGGTATTCACATAGTGTTTTTAATATTCCCAACAATTCTGGAGGTTAGATTTTCTTTTCTTTTTTTTTTTTGGACAGAGAGAGACCTAGTGAGAGAGGGAACACAAGCAGGGGGAGTGGGAGAGGGAGAAGCAGGCTTCCAGCCAAGCAGGGAGCCCGATGTGGGGCTTGATCCCAGGACCCTGGGATCATGACCCGAGCCGAAGGGAGATGCTTAACGACTGAGCCACCCAGGCGCCCCTGGAGGTTAGATTTTCTTAAACACAGTTCAGATATTCACTTAAAACCCTACTTTCCTTGGTATCTCTCCTTTTTCAAGGCATTGAAAACTAAATATTTCAGTAATCGGCCAGGGCCAACACCTGGATGTCAGCTGCCAAGACCAAACTGTCCATTGGAAACTCTAAAGGAGCAGTCAAATCCAGCTGTAGCAACAAAACGGAAGAGAACACAGGCCTTGGAACAAGGTAAAACTTTCATTTTCATAAGAAATGAAATGAATTCAGAGAGCTCCAAGTAGGTAATATATAGCTCATTGATGGAGGGGCAGCTAAGAAATGCAGATTGTGAGCTGTTTCATAAGTGTGGTAGAGAATGTGGTATTTTAGCATAGTTGTTTTCACTGAAAATAATTAAATCAAGCTTTTTAAAAGGCTATGGGCACTTTTGAGTATACCTCAGAGTTGCGAGAACTTACCAATATGTACCTTATTTTCTTCATAAATTTTTATTGGTATACTGTATGCTTAATGTTAAATAAGTCTTATTAGCAAATCAAAGCAAGTAAAATGAATGTAGTTGGAATGTAGTGACTGGTTAGAATTGCTGTAAGATTAAATGTGAACAACCTCATTTTTTTTTCACCTAGGAGGATTACCCAAGAAGCTAATTTTTTAGTTACAGAGATCACTGGACAGTATTTTACTACTGAAGGAAATAGTCAAGGCAAATAATGGAGAAATAGTAAATGTTTAGTAAATGATGTAGAAGGAATTTGTAAATATTCCACACATGTAAAATATGTAAAACTGGATTATTTTTATTAAATGTATTTTAAAACAAACTTAATTCTGATTTTTTTGATGAGAGTACAAAAGTAAGATTAAGTTCAATTCTCTGAAATGTAGAATTGAAAATGCATTAAGGAAACCTTAATAAAAATAATCATCAGTTACTTTGGTGATCTGGCCCACGTAGCATCACAGATTTGAAGTAGCAGGGGTAGTATTCAAAAATTGAAGCAGTAGTAGAAATGTAGCATATACCTCCTACCTGGAGTTAACATATGTTAATATACTAAATAGGAAAAAAAGAAGAAAAAATTACAAATGAAATTGAGGTCCCTTTAATATGTCATTCCATTCTTTTCCCTTTTCACCTTCCTGAAAGGAGAGTGACTCAGGAAATGAGTGTGTCCTTCCATGATTTTATACTGCTATTTTATAAAAATACATGTAATAATACACTGTATTGTTTTGGGTCTCAAAATTTTATAAGTGATAGGCTGTACATCTCAATTTTTTTTCTCAAAACTTTAATTCCTTCCATGTTAATACATATAAATCTAGTTTAATATCCATTTAATATATAAAAATATATATTATGTATATAACACTACATACTCATGCTTTATAGACTGTTATTTTTCTTGTGCTGTATAAAAATTACCATAAATATAGCAGCTTAAAGTAACACATTTTCTAGCTCACAGTTCTGTAAACCAGATGTCTGACCTGGCGCCACTGTGTTTTTTGCATAGGTCAAAATCAAGATGTCAGTTGATCTGAGTTTCTAGGGAAGAATTGGCTTCCAGACTTATTCATTTCATGTATTTTAATGCACGTGCTTCCTATCCTGGTAGCTGTCAGCCAGAGGCCTTTCCTAGCTTCTTAAGGCAGTCCACATGCCTTGTCACATGGTATTCTCCATCTATAAGCCAACAAGTATGCTTAGGATCTGTTTGGTTTCTTTGCTACCAAGAGAGAAAACTCTGCTTTCTTTAAAAAGACAAAATAGACTGCATCAAGATTTAAAACTTGTATCAAAGGAGTGATAAGCAGAGTGAAAAGATGCAAATCATGTATCTGATAATATAGCTCAACAATAAAAAAATTATATTAAAAAATGGGCAAAGGACTTGAATAGACATTTCACCAAAGATGATGTAGAAATGGCCAATAAGCCCATGAAAAGATGCTCAACATCACTAATCATTAGGGAAATGCAAGTCAAAACCACAATGAGATATAACTTCATACCAGTTAGGATCTTTACTATCAAAAAAAAAAAAAAAATCCCAGAAAATAAGTGTTGATGAGGATGTGGAGAAATTGGGACCCTTGTGCATTATTGGTTGGAATGTAAAATGGTGTCGCTGCTGTGGAAAACTGTGGCCTTTCCTTAAAAATTTTTAAAGAGCATTTTCATATGATCTAGCAGTTTCACTTCTTAGTATATCCCCCAAGATTGAATGCAGGATCTCAGATATACACAGTCCCATCAACACTGTATGAAAGGATCTGTTTCACCTCATCATTTCTAGTACTCACATAATCTTTGTGGTCTTTGCTAATTTGGTATCTCATTCTAATTTACATTTTTAAAATTTCTACTGTGGTTGAATAGTTCCTCACATTTGCTAACCATATATAATCCCTCTTGTGAACTGTTGACTTAGATTCTTTTTCAGTTATCGCTTCTCAGCCTTTTGGCTAAGATCAAGTGTAGATTCTTTTTCAGTTAGAGTGTTCCAAATTTTATCAATTTATATGAATTTGCGTTTTATATATATACACATGTATTATACACACACACATTAAAAAAGAACCTTTGATTTTTTTTTTTTTACACTTCCAGGTTTGTTATTGTTGAACATTACCAAATCTTTTCTTACCTTTTATTTCATATTAAATCATTACATGTATTAAATCATTACATGTATTAAATCTGTGTGTGGTCTTTATCCTGTTCCATTGACCTACTGGTACCACATTGTTTTAAATAATGTAGCTTTATACTACTATCAGGACAATGCAGTTTTAATATCTAGTAACAGTAGTTCCTCATCATTACTCCTTTTTGCAAAATTTATTTGCCAAGTTTTCATCTTTTATTAATATTTATTAATTCCAACTAAATGGTGTTGCTTTAACACAATAGTTTATACTTTGTTACCTCATTTTACCCTGTTGTTACCTCATCTATTTAAGTAGTATTTAACGTAGCTAAGCCATGTATGTATCTTTTTTACTAGACATCATAACTAGATAAAAGTTTTATTAAAATTTCTGATAATGTAATAGAGGTCCTTTGATATAACTGTGATGTTAATATAGCAACATTCCCAGAAGGTATTAAATATCTTTATTATGTAACATTTATAGAAAGAAAAAATTAAATGGCTTAAAATTCAGCATCAAAACCAAGAAAATAAATCAGAATGGTGTGAGTGCTAGAATTATGTGTAGGTCTGGCTACAAAGTGTCACCACACCAACAAATAAAGAAGCTATAAAGGTAACTAACAATGTTTTGAATATACTTCTGCCAAAGTCCCGCCATGATAACTTTTTAATTGAAATTAAGGAAATTATTAAACTCTCTGTGGCAAATGAAAAATCCTGAAAAATACAATAAAACTATATGTAATCTAAAAATTAACATTCAGTCACTCCTAGGCATTGTTACTTCTTAGAGCATTAATTTATATTGTTACTTAAGCCAGTCAAAGATCCCTTTAGTCAATCTAAGTAGTTAAATAACTTTTTCTCAAAAATCAATTTTTTGTTGTTGTTAAGATGTTGGCAAATACTGAAAATTTAATAAGGTATAGTAACGTAATTTATAAAATATGTCAACATAATACTAATAAATTTCTTGTAGAAAATGAGTATTTAAGCTGCTTTCTAAAACTTAGAAAGACCCAGAAAATATACAACTTCTGATGTAGCAACATTTAAGTCCTTTTTTAAAGTCTCTTGATAGAAACAGCTCTTGGTTCTGATTTCAACTGGTTTATTTTCAAAACATGATATTTGATGGCAAAGAACAGGATCTTTTGACAGTTCTTGTGCAGTTTTGATCTCTGTGAAGGTGTTGGATTGAACAGATGCAGCCCGCAGAATTTAAAATTTGAACACTTGAATATACAGGATCATGCAGTTCAGGGAATTCTGAAGATTTCCCCCAGAGGTTTTTTAATGGAAAATTGTCTTTCACGGGACTTTTTTCTTTATTTTCATTTGAGGTGGTGTCTTTCTCTTCCAGTGCCCGAGCAAGCATGTAACTAACTTTTCTTTGATGAGCCAGAGCTTCTTCTTTATCATTCAACTGCATATACAAAAATCAAAATTATACCAGTTATGGGTATCTGGGTGGCTCAGTCATTTAAGCATCTGAGTCTTGGTTTCAGCTTGGGTCATGATCTCAGCGTCATGAGATCAGGCCGAGCTCCACGTTTAGTGCTCATCCCTCTCATTGGGGAGTCGGCTGGAGATTCTCTCTCCCTCTGCCCCTCCCCCAACCTGTATGTGCTCTCTAAAATACATAAATCTTTTTTTAAAAAAAGATTAAAAATATGCCAGTTAGTCAGTAAATCACAGAATATAGAGCTATAGTCAGAAGTTTTCTCAAAATGTTCTGTCTTCAGTCTGTCAAGTCAGTCAATGTAAATAATTGTTTACTGATTCCCAAATAATACGGTACACATTACTGAGGCTTTTTTTTTTAAAGGAAGAACAGAAAGCAGCATTCCTTCTGAAATTTTTATAGATCATCCGAAGAGAGGGGAAAAACATATACATGGTGTGTGTGTGTATATATGTGTATATAATATTAACATGTACTTACCTCTGCAAGAGAATGTTGAAGTTATTTGTATGTGAAATTGTTTATATATTTATATGAGAATAACTTGAACACTTCTATAGATAGGTATGTTCATATAGCATGGGTCTTTTAGTTTAGTCATATATGAAATGGGGATAATAGGACTGATTTTCAGGGTTGTAGTGATGATTAAAGGATATACTGTGTGAGAAAGCTGCCTTGTACAACTTAAAAATTCCTGAATGGCACGGATTGTATGCATACGTGCAGATGACAGAGGTACCTGCAGTTAATTACAGGGGAGCCCCCTCTTTTCAGAAGTGAAGCTTTAAACTTGTACAGGAAGAACATGGATGGGAGAAGTGGGAAGAGCATGCAGGGAATTTAAGGAGATGAAGATCAAAACTGGAGGATGGTACCTCAGCTGGGAAAAGGGCATAAAAGGCAAGTATAGAGTGCTAAAGAATTAAATTTAAAAAAAAAAGTCGAATTAATAGGAAGCAGAAAGATTAACTTAACCACAACCTCTAACAAAAGGAAAGCAAAGATACTAACCAACTCTGTTAGCATCTCAAAGACCTCCTGAGGGTTATTCTGGTCTTCGGTCTTCTTAGAACTGTTTTCTGATGGGAGCATCCCCAGCAGTTTCTGCCCTAAGGTCTTCTTACTTCCTTGTGATGGTAATCCTAAAATTCAACATGCAAATCCAACTGAGACATAAAAACACACTCACTAATGTAGTTCCAGGAATAGAGGTTAAGTATGAACCAGGGATAATTCATTTGTAAATCAGCCAGGAGGTGGTTCTCTTCAGGATACCTCTAGTAAGTCAGGCATCACATAGTGTGTACTGGGAGGAGAACACAGACTTTATTTTATTTTTTAAGATTTTATTTATTTATTTGAGAGCGAGTGAGAGAGAAACAGCGTGAGAGGGGAGAGGGTCAGAGGGAGAAGCAGGCTCCCCGCTGAGCCGGGAGCCCGATGTGGGGGCTCGATCCCAGGACTCCAGGATCATGACCTGAGCCAAAGGCAGTTGCTCAACCAACTGAGCCACGCAGGCACCCCAGAACACAGACTTTAGAGCCAGGATGGCAAACGGAGGTTGAGAGGGCCACAGTGTAAGACCCAGAGCAATGCCCTGCCTGCCGCTGTATCTCATCGTACAGCTGCTCCTGGGGACAGCATGCAGCCCACATTATCAGCAGCTTTCCAGAGGAGGCAGCAATCCAGTTTTGTATGTGAAATCTCCCAATGTTGAATGTCAGCCACTTACCCACCCCTGGTATTTGAGAACACTGTGCACACCCAACAAAACCTGGCCTCTGAGCCATGCAAATTCTGTTTTAGAGCAGAAAGACCTGGACTTGAATCCTCATTTAACCACTTACTAAATGACCTTGGACAAGGTCTCTGAGCTTTGTTTCCTCACCTCTAGAATAATAGTACCTATGCCTCAGGATTGCTGTGCCATTAAATAATAGAGCAGGGGGGATGCTGGGAGAAGGGATTGGGCAGTTAGTGTTTAATGGGTAAAGTTTCCGTTTGGGAAGATGAAAAAGTTGTAGAGATGAATGGATGTGATGGTTACAAAACAATGTGAATATAATATTTAAAAATGGTTAAAATGGTAAATTTTATGTATATATTTTATCACAATTAAAAAATAACATAGCACAGTTGTGAAAACTAGCCCAGGTATGGACATAATGTTTAAGAGTCCACATCCTGAAATGTGTACACTGAGGATGTTCTTCAGAGAAAGAATGCAGTTTTATAGCAGAAGGTATAAAAATTGTGGATTTATACAAAGAGAACATCAAGAATGCCTTCGGAATGCTCTGTAAATGGCCTAATGGAAAACTGAGAGCAGATAAGAGATATTTCCCTTTACACTCAATCCTGATAAACTGCAGTGACGAGCTCACTCATGACCTCTTCCTCCAGCAACTGTGGCAAAAGGAGAAAGGCCAGACAAGTTGATGTGCTCATCAGCTGTGATGAGTGGATGGATGTCTATTTGCAGTCTAAAAAAAAAGAAATATGCTTATAACCTATCTCTCAGAACTCGTCTAAGCTGCATATCAATGACAAAAGTTGATGTCTTCTTAACGTGTTAACCACATATAAGAAAATGACCTGTGACAGTCATCCTGTACCTCTTTAGATTATTGAAATACATGAATAAAATCAGTCCCGTCACTGAAAAACTGACAAAGAGCTACTGACGCTTGTATGGACTTGTAAAGGCCTTTCCGAGATGAATCAGTTATTTTACTGCTTCCACCAGTCTCTTCAGGGTCTTAATGGAAAACAGATCAGGAGCTATACCTACCAAATCATATTTTTTATGGAAAAGTTCTTGAGGTTCCTTATTAGCTAAGAAAGGCAGAAGTTCTGGAATATGAAATGAATACATACTCAAGTGCTGAATAGTATATGAATCTACCTCTTAGGAAAAACCCAGCCTTTTCTACCTACCACTACCCTTGTGGCCTACTTCCATGCACACTTGGGTCTACTATGCCAGGTGAAAGAATCTGGCTGCTTTCCTAAGATTAACCAGGCCTTTCCCTTTTCTTTCTCCCCTAACTTTTCTCCTTACCTTCCATCAAAACAAGCAGTTAAGATCAGACTTCCAAAGGGATTTGCCTTTAGTTTATGTCACAGAACACCAAGGCTATCCTCAAAGACAGTATCTTTGAAAACTGAGCAGTCCAGCTCCTATCAGGGAACTAATTTAGAAGAGGTGCCTGAAGATCACCTACACATTTGTTGTCCTTGATAGATACTCTATATTTTCCATCAATTCCTAAAAGCCTAAGTATATGGACTGTGCTTATTTCCCTGGCAGAATCACCTACCTTGAGCTGGACATTAAGGTTATACCTTCAGCTTTTACCAAGGGATTATTATAAGTAATAGCCATATAAATACTGATTTGTATTTATCATAAATGATAGTTAAGGACTTAGACATTATATCAGCTAGCTCAGTGATTTCTTTTATAAATCTCATGTCCGAAAACTTTTTAAAAATTAATTTCAGGACAATGTGGAATGCCTCTTTAAGAATGAATGTTGAGAAATACGTTTTCCTGTGTTGCCCTGACTTCTCCCAGATGAAAAGTCTAAATATGTAACTCTTATGATCTGGTTCTGTCTACTTTCATACTTCTTGTGTACTGCTTCTATTTTTATTATCCCTGTAAGCTTAGCACTTTTTACCATTTCAGCAAAGGGACAGGTAAAGTTTAGTTAATGAAGCTAAAATTTCACAACACGTAACCTGTATGCTATTAGGAATATGTACTATTGAAAAAATATATTTAAAACAAAATAGGTATCTATTATTAAAAGTTTAATTTTTAATATAAGATTCTTATTAACCCAAATTCATCTGAGAATGAGAGATACTGGAATTAGGATTATGGATTTTGGTATACTAAAAAATATTTAGAAATATAAGTCATCTCAGAATTTTAATATTAAAACATTTAAACTTATAAACTTCACTGTAATCTTTCTTGACTAAGAAAAGGTTTCAAATTGGAATTTAATTGGAATTTTAAATTGAAGCACTAGGAGTTGCACTGAATAATACTAAAAAATTGATACTGACCTTTTAGAGAAACTAACATTTCTAAAAAATAACAGGTACTTTGATTATATTGGATGATCTACTTCAACTGTAATTTTATTCTTTGATGACATTTTTATATATTTGTTTTCCACTAGTACAACAGTACTAAAAAAATGGCCATGGCCATGAACTTTGAAAGGTTTGTGAACCAAAACCTAAACCTTAACTTCTGTTTCATTTTTATGAGTATTAATATTTCTTTTTTTTTTAAGATTTTATTTATTTATTTGAGAGAAAAAGTGCATGAGAGGGGTCAGAGGGAGAAGCAGACTCCCTGCTGAGCAGGGAGCCCAGTGCAGGACTCGATCCTGGGACTCCAGGATCATGACCTGAGCTGAAAGCAGTCACTTAACCAACTGAGCCACCCAGGTGCCCCATGATTATTAATATTTCCAACTTAAAATTTTTCCTCTACCCCTCAATATCTCAACATATTTCAACAAAGTTTAATTAGATACATTTAATGTCGGGTTTCACTATTTTCATTATTACTTCCTAGGCAGTTTCCCTTTAATCATCTGGCACTTTTGCAAAGTTTTCCCACGAAACGTAGTCTTGTTTAAATGAGACAGATGAATAGTAAAAAAGAGATTGTTATTTTAAGGTTTTGATGATCCTATTACCTTATCTGCATATGTAACATCCAGTGACCCCATTCTTAACCATAGTTACTAAATTCTGTAATAAATCACAACTATCTTTGATATTTCAATTATATTCTCCATTACATTAACTGTGCTTAATCAACTTTGATTATTACCAAAAACAACTAAAATTACACCTGATTATTGCCATTATAATTCATATTTACCATCCTCCTTAAGGTGCTTCCAATTTATCCATTTTGTTGCTTTTTTATACATTTTATCCATTTGTGTCAATCTTAGTGCCTGGTCATTTTTCCTCATTAATTGTTGCTCAAATGCAATTCTGAATGCATCTGCCATTATGTAAGCTTCTTCTTTACTCTTCTGCAAAAGTCCCAACTAGTTTTGAAAGAAAGTTTGAGAGGTGTCAGAGGCAAAACATAACAATTCTTGCCTGAATACTGAATCAGATTAGCAAATGTAGTCTCCCTGCCTTAAGCATGGTTCTAGTGTCTGATCTAGTCCATCTGCTTAAACTAATTAGTACTTGCTAATTACCCTCTATAGTAGCTGCCCACTCTGAACTAAATTACCAGAAGTTTCCCTCGTGGTGCCTGACCATTCCTTGTTAATCCATTTCTTGGACCTCACCACATTACCCTAGACAGGCCCTGTGTGTGTCCTGCCCAAAGAGTAAGAAAGGAGGATGCCAAAGGCTGCATTTCAATTCTGCCTTGGGCCATTCCAGACAATATCACTGAAAATAATTACGAGTATCACTTTTTACATATCCGCCATAGCTGACCCTGACTCTGATCTGTGTAATCTTATGCTTTTCTTAATGAATTGCCAACATTTATGTTACTTTTCCTATATCTGAAGACTTAAAGTTCCATTCTTCAATAAAGGTAAAATATTTTTTTAAAATTATGGTCCATGTTTTGTATTTGTTTTTTAAAACTAACGATAATGGCAAATGTTGTTTGATTAAATGCCAGGCATCTGCATGGCACTGTGCTAAACATTAAATGTCTGCTTCCTCTGTATCATCGCAACAGCCCAATAACTGGTTATTACTCTCTAATGTGTATCCAAACCCACGCAGCTAGAAAATACTAGAGGTGAGACTTAAACTTACGTCTGGCTGGTACAAAGGTTCTTTCCACTGTACCTTGCTGCTTTTCTAATAAGCTTCATGTTTATCTCCCCATTTATCAGAGTTGTGGATCCTAGTGATTTTAAGCATGAGTGTGCTGATATAGTAATTTTTAGGGCCATTTATAGAGAAAAGAAAAATTTAGGCAATGTTAACTACAAGCTTAGGCAAACAACGTCATGTTGCCACCATATTGTGCCAGGTACTATTTGTATTTTGGAACCGTGTAAATAAAAATAAAATTAAATTAATGAGTTAATTCTATCACATAAAACTACAAATAAGTTCCATAGCCAATGACTACTAAAATGAAGCTAATTATTGCAGATATTTTCCTTTATTACTAGAGAAACAAAACAAAAGCTTTAGTGTTTTGATAATACAATACCTCTTGTTTGAGCTTAAGAAGCATTTTGCGAGCAGATGCCGCCATTTTGGCACAATCGCAGGGACTCCCTCTAGGGCCATGGCAAAGGCAGGCTCCGAGGACAGCAAGCTTTAAATCCAAAAGCATTACTCCCATTACTAAGTGCCATACTGCCTCGCTGCACACAAACAAGGGCGCGCACACACATACACATTTCTAGTCAAGCATCATTCAAAGAACCTGGAAAGAAAGAAAAAACTAAGAAAGCTGCGAGTAGGATTTCAAGATCCAAGTGGAAATTACAAATGAGGAAACAATGTTACTACTTGGAACAAAACCTTAAAGGAATTCTACCTTGCTTTTCCTTTTCTAAAACCTTTAAGTGGGCACCAGTTTTCTATAGTTCTGTATCCCTGGCAGCAACTTGACCTAATGAAGTAAATATTAACACCCACTGTGTGTTATTTCTTGTGACTGAGCGTGGTCCTGCTGCCCAGCATTTACTCCTACCAGTTCCCACCAGGGAGAGGTGCATGGTCAGAAATGATGAATGACTTCTTTTTTTTTTTTTTTTAAGATTTATTTATTATTTATTTTGAGAGAGTGAGAATGAGAGAGAGAGAGAGTACATGAGAGGGGGGAGGGTCAGAGGGAGAAGCAGACTCCCTGCTGAGCAGGGAGCCCGATGCAGGACTCGATCCCGGGACTCCAGGATCATGACCTGAGCCGAAGGCAGTTAGCTTAACCAACTGAGCCACCCAGGCGCCCTGATGAATGACATCTAATATGTGAGGAGAATAATCATCCTTCCACTTCTAAAAAATACCTGTCATCATGTAATGTGAGTCACAGCTAACACAGCTTCTGCTAAAACTATAAAAATAAGAAATAAAAGGGGCAGGAGGTGGCCAGCACATCTTCTAGTGTCCAAGAATATAGTGCATGGACGGGCATGGTGCCAGTAAGGCTGAAGAACTGCCCTGAGGAAACCAATGGGCCTCTCCTTACCCTCACTCTCAAACTGCTAAGTATAATGCTATTCTAGAACATGGAGCAGGTGATGGGGAGAAGGAAAGTAGAAAATTTCCCTCTTGTTCAATTTTCTTTTTTAAAGATTTTATTTATTTGACAGAGAGAGACACAGCGAGAGAGGGAACACAAGCAGGGGGAGTGGGAGAGGGAGAAGCAGGCTTCCTGCAGAGCAGGGAGCCCGACGCGGAGCTCGATCCCAGAACCCTGGGATCATGACCTGAGCCGATGGCAGACGCTTAACGACTGAGCCACCCAGGCACCCCTTGTTCAATTTTCATACCTGCTTACCTACCTCAAGACCTGAAACCTCTGTAAAACCACTTTTTTCACGGCACACGTTTTCTGGAGCCACCATCTGCCGTTTGACATCAAGCATGGCGAGGGCCTCTAAATACTGTTGATTTAAAACTAGGAAGGGCCAAAGAAGAGAGTGTTAGTTACGAAATTTAACTCCGGCCTCACCTAATTGAGTTACACCAACATTATATACTCATTTCTTATAAGCAATGCATATACACAGACATTACCTACTACATCTGGCCCCATCCCGAAAAAAGGTATCAAGTGAGATAATACATATATAACACTAGATTAAATAGGACTATTTTTAACGTTGAAGTATTTTAATTTTGCCAACAAAGTCTGGTCTTCATTTGGTCAAAGAAAATTTGCAGGATTTTCAAAGAGAACACACAAATGCAAATTATTTGCACTTGCTGGATCGTAAGACAACCAGATGATGAGATCACCTACATTAATGTCAAATGTACCAGCTATACAAACTTTATCGGACTTCTGTTAAGAGTTTTCACCAGAGGCTCTCAACCAAACATTTAGAACAAGAAGGGTCCTGCTATCTACTGAGCAGAAAATAGTAACTTTTCCTCTCTTGTTGCAGGGTGAGGTGGTAGAGGGGGAGGGCTTGTGGCTGTGGGCAACTTCTGTCCTGAACTAACCTAACAGGAGAAATCTCCCATCTGCTCGTTCCTGGTGTTAAGAAGCACCACTTTCTGTGTGCAGTTCTCACCCCAGCACTCTGCCACAGTACACTTACTAAACTACAGAAAGTGCCCCTCTCAGGTCCATGACCTGATTTAGAACTTTGTCCCCTTCAAGCCACTACTTTAAAACAGTTTCTGCTAAGAAGGAAGAACCAACATCTCTTAAAATTTTATAAAAAGTTGATGCCATCTTAATATTCTTAAAACACCTTACTATTCTTTTATTAACTTTTGTCATAAGGTGGCTCATTACATAAAGGGTATGTATGTATACACATATATGTAAAAAATTTCAAGTTTTTAATAAGTCATCTTGAAAATAGCAATAAAGTCACAAGATATTTTTGAGAGAAAGTAATGTTGAATAATTACACAGCTACATACTTTTCCTACTAGTATTCCAATAAAACATATACCCACTAAGGTTCCTCAACATCAGGTGCTCTACAATCTTGTTTTACAATGAGTATAAAAACTAAAGGATAAAGGGAGAATGGGGAGAAATACTTAATGGATATAGGGTTTTATTTTGGAGTGATGAAAATCTTTTGGAATGAGATGGTTGCAAACATTGTGGGTGTTATGAATTATTTACTTTTGAATGGTTGGTTAATTTTGTTAATTGAATTTCACCTAAAAATTTTTTTAAATTGCAAAAACGCTAAAAGATGCATATCTTCTATTATCCTTAAAGCATATTACTTTGAAATAATAGCACTTTGTCTATCAATATGTATGTTCTTAACATAGGATACTCTATTTAAAACTTATCTTGTAACATAATATTTTTAAAGAATCAAAATACCAGTCTTCACTTACGTGCATTTTCCGACTTGAGCATTTTAATTTCTTCTGTTTTTACATTCAAAGTTTCTTGGAGGACTGCATTTTCACAGTTAAGCCTGGAAAAAAGTACCCTCCAAATAACTAATACTTCATGGTTGAATGAGAATATTTTTATCCCATAATTAGAACACAAAAACCCAAATAAAATTTTTCCTACTTCAAAACAGTCTAGAAAATGTATGTGTCACAAAACAAAAACAATTTAAAAGAGTGTGGTAATGGGGCGCCTGGGTGGCTCAGATGGTTAAGCGTCTGCCTTCGGCTCAGGTCATGGTCCCAAGGTCCTGGGATCGAGCCCCGCATTGGGCTCCCTGCTCAGTGGGAAGCCTGCTTCTCCCTCTCCCACTCCCCCTGCTTGTGTTCCCTTTCTTGCTGTCTCTCCCTCTGTCAAATAAATAAATAAAAATCTTAAAAAAAAAAAAGTGTGGTAAGATTTTGAACATACTCTTAATTCGTCTGTATATTTAGCTGAGAAAGAATCAGAAGTATCTCAAATTAAAAAATAATAAAATAATAAAAAGTGGGCGGGGGGCCTAGCCTGGTTCAGTGGGTAGAGCATGTGACTCTTGATCTCAGGGTCATGAGTTCAAGCCCCGTATTAGGTGTGGAGCCTACTTAATAAAAATTAATAGGGGTGCCTGGGTGGCTCAGTGGGTTAAGCATCTGTCCAACCCTTGATTTCAGCTCAGGTCATGATCCTCAGTGTTGTGAAATCAAACCCCATGTCAGGCTCCACGCTGGGCATGGAGCCTGCTTGAGATTCTCTTTCTCCCTCTCCCTTTAATTAATTAAAATAAAAAAAAAAAGAGAGAATCAGGGGCGCCTGGGTGGCTCAGTCAGTTAAGCATCTGGCTTCAGGTCATGATCTCAGGGTCCTGGGACTGAGACCCAACTCGGGCTGTGCACTTAGTGGGAAGTCTGCTTTTCCCTGTATCCCTCCCCCTCTCCCTGCTTGTGCATACTCTCTCTCTCAAACAAGTAAAATCTTAAAAAAAAAAAAAAATGGGGCACCTGCGTGGCTCAGTTGGTTGAGCATCTGCCTTCAGCTCAGGTCATGATCTCTCAGTCCTGGGATCAAGCCCTGCATCGGGCTCCCTGCTCAGTGGGGAGCCTGCTTCTCCCTCTCCTCTTGCCCCAGCTCATCAGGCTCTCTCTCAAATAAGATTTTAAAAAATAAAAATAATAAAAAGAATCAGAAGTATCTCTGAGGCAGCCTTTTGAATATTCATTTTCTTTACTAAAGTTTTAATCATCTTCACCACCACCTATAAGCTTAGGCCACCTCCAAGAACTTGCATAAAAAGATACCTAGTTTATACTGCAAAATACTGGAAACAATCTAAGTGCCTATCAAGGAGAATGGTTGAGTACACTATGGCACATCCACACAATGGACTGGTTTCCAGGATATATTGTTAAATAGAAAAAACAGTTTAAAAGACTATCTACAGTCAACTGTTCTTTGGTGTAAAAAAGAAGGAGAAATAAGAGAACAGACATATATGCCCATTTGTGCAAAAGGAAACACAGGAAGGATAAATCAAAAAATAGACTGGTTATCTACAGATGGTGAGGAAAAAAAGGAAGGATGACTGGAGGCTGGGAATGGGGTAGGCATGGGGGGAAAATGACATTTCTGAGTATACCTCTCAGAATAGTTCTGACTTTTGGAAGCATGGGAATGTTTTACAGTCAAAAATAAAGATGAATAAGTAAATCAACAAGGATGGTGAAAAAAAACGTAAGAAAGAATAGATAGAAACAAATGAACTTAAATGAACAGTATAACCATACTGAAGAGAAAAAAATAAGTTTTATTTTTTTTAAAGATTTATTTGAAAGAACGCAAGTAAGCACAGGGGTTGGGGTGGGGCAGAGGGAGAGGGAGACAGAAACTCAAGCAGACTCCTCACTGAGCATGGAGCCCGACACAGGGCTTAATCTCACGACCCTGAGATCATGACCTGAGCCGAAATGAGTCAGACACTCAATCAACTTAGCCATCCAGGTGCCCCAAGAAACTAAACAAGTTTGGAACACAGTGTATTGACTGGATCCCCTCAGGCTAGGAAAAAAAACTACAAACAAATACTGAACTCTAGGTTTGATTCTGCAATGGTGTATATTAGCAATTCTAAAGCTACTTTCTGCATATTGTACGACAGAACGAATAAGTAAACACTGGGTAAATAAGTAAACATTGGGTAAAAAGAGCCACATTTCTCACTGTGGAAGTTACAAATGTGGAAAGGAGCACTCAGGCTAAAATTAACCCTGTGGTGGTGGTCTGCAATTGGAGATAGGGGTATGAACTCAGGGTTTTGAACAGAGAGAGAGAGAGGTTTAGGTATGTGTCAGTGTGGGTGTATATTTCCAGCTCTGTCCTCTGAGACCTTTTAGCAATGACTTCCAGTAGCAATGAGCACACTTAGCACTAAGACCTTGATTTCTTTTTTTTTTAAAGATTTTATTTTTATTTATTTACTTGACAGAGAGAGACACAGCGAGAGAGGGAACACAAGCAGGGGGAGTGGGAGAGGGAGAGGCGACTCCCCGCTGAGCAGGGAGCCCAATGCGGGGCTGGATCCCAGGACCCCGGGATCATGATCTGAGCCAAAGGCAGACGCTTAACAACTGAGCCACCCAGCCATCCCAAGATCCTGATTTCTAAACACCATTCCCCACTAAAAGGAACCAGGGATCCCTGAAGAAATGCTTAATATTTTATGCATAACGGCCTAGAATATCTTATACCAGAAAGCAAAGTGCTCAAACAATAATAGGGAGGTGTCAGAAAGCCACAGGAGCCAGCTTGAAGGGGCTCCCACTGACCAAAGTTGGCAATTTTTTTTAAGATTTATATATTTTTTTTAGAGAGTGAGCAAAAGCACACGCACACCCAGGGGAGGAGGGAAGGGCAGAAGGAGAGGCAGAGAAAGAATCTGAAGCAGACTCCCCACTGAGTGCAGAGCCTGATGCAGGACTCAGTCTCACAACCCTGAGATTATGACCTGAGCTGAAACTAAAGAGAGTCAGATGTTTAACCCACTGCACCACGAGGCGCTCCCAAAATTGGAAAATTTTAAGCAACAAAAGAAATTACGAGAGTAATGGCTTTTAACCAGTTGAATAATGCAAGAATTCATGAATCCATTTTGGGATAAACAAATGGAGAAAAAAAGCTCTTTACTACAGTAAAATGCCAGCAAATAAATGCAGAGGAAGTAACAGAATTAGCAAATTACCATTTGGCAGCCATCACAGTAATGACTGCTTCAGGCAGAATAATCTGTGGATGTAGAAACTAGTGGGTAAAAATCTGATAAATCACATAATCTCAAAGCATCTCCCCCACAAGATGCTTATTAATCACAAGGGGAAAAAATGTTGCCTTTATAGTGGAGAGTGAGGGCACACAACCCACCTTAACCCAAGTAGTCAAGATTCACAGGCTAGGAATGGGACAGATCAACTTCACAGGCCTCCGGATGTGATCCGCTAAGAACACAACACTTCTTCAGTGGTAATATGCCCAAATGCATAGCCCAAATTAAGTTCAGACGCACCAGACGTCGCCAATGTGGGACATTACGTAACCGGCCTGTCTTCAAAAAATGTCAAGAACAAACACTGAATAACTGTTTCAGATGTTTTTTCCCCCTGCCCCTCACTTCGGCCTCCCTCCCTCCTAAGTGTTTCCGATTAAAGGGTTCTAAGGTTTAGATGGGAAAAGCAAACACAATGCATGATTCTGGATTGGCTCCCAGAACACAGGAATTTTTTTCTTCTCTTTTGCTAAAGGGGTGTTAAGTACTAGAATAATTAGCAAAACTAAATAAGAGAGTATTAGATTATGTCTTAATTTTGATAATATTACTGTGGTTATAAAAGTCCCTTTTTATAAACACAGAGTGAAATATTTAGAGTAATGAGGCCTTATATATAAGCAACTTACTTTTTTTTTTTAAGATTTTATTTATTTATCTGACGGCGGGGAGAGTGCACAAGCAGGGGGTGCGGCAGAGGGAGAGGGAGAAGCAGGTTCCCCGCCGAGCAGGGAGCCCGACGTGGGGCTCGATCCCAGGACCCCGGGATCATGACCTGAGCCGAAGGCAGACGCCACCCAGGTGTCCCTAAGCAACTTACTCTTAAATGACTCAGATATCTATATCTATGTATTTAACTACAAAGAAAGAAACAGAATGATAAAGCAAGTATGGTAAAGAGTTCTACTTTGGAGAATCTTGGAGAAAGATATACAGGAATTCTTTGTATTATTCTTGCAACTTTTCTGTACGTGTTATATTAAAAGTTAGTAATAAATGAAAAATTAGGTACTAAAACCATCTATAACCCCAGATATCAAATCAATTTCTCAATTGACTTTATAATATGTACGTTATAATTCAAAGTTACTAAATAAATTCACTAGTAAAAATTGCCCAAAAGATTTTGTTTGAAAAGAAAATGCCAGTGCTAAAATAACTTGGAAAACATGGTGCTTACGTTTTTTATCTATTTTTTATTATTTTTTTAAAGATTTTATTTATTTATTTGACAGAGAGAGAGAGAGACAATGAGAGAGGGAACACAAGCAGGGGGAGTGGGAGAGGGAGAAGCAGGCTTCCCGCGGAGCAGGGAGCCCGATGCGGGGCTCCATCCCAGGACCCTGGGATCACAACCTGAGCCGAAGGCAGATGTTTAATTGACTGAGCCACACAGGCGCCCACACTGCTTTTTAAAATATAGTTTATAGGGGCGCCTGGCTGGCTCGGTAGTGCATGTGACTCCTGATCTTGGGGTTGTGAGTTCAAACCCCATTGTGGACATAAAGCCTACTTAAAAAATAAATAAATAAAATATGAAACTGGTGAAAGCGGATAAGCAGTAAGAATTTCATAATATTCACAGCCCACAGAAGAACACCTAAGCTATATTTGAATTATATACACTTTATGGGGTGCCTGGCTGGCTCAGTTGGAAGAGCCTGTGACTCTTGATCTCGGGGTCATGAGGTCAAGCCCCATCTTGGGAGTAGAGATTACTTAAATAAATAAATATTAAAAATAATATATAAAAGGGCGCCTGGATGGCTCAGTGGTTAAGCGACTGCCTTCGGCTCAGGTCATGATCCTGGAGTCCCGGGATCGAGTCCCACATCGGGCTTCCTGCTCGGCGGGGAGTCT